TGACCTGGCACCCCAGGCCTGAACCCCTCCGGGGGTTTGGACTCGGGTCTCAGCCTCACACCATTAGTGTCTCTTCCCAGAATCCTTCCGCTCCCCAGGAGCCAGCGCAGCTTTGGGGGTGCAGGATCGGGCCAGAGCCTGGTCCCCAAAGCCACCCTCTACTCCCCAGCCAGGGGGAACTGTGGACCAAAATCTGCACATACGCATTTTGATCAGGCTCATCATTAACTGATGTACAGAATTGGGAGCTGACAGCATCCAGGTTTGACAGCTCCGATTTCCATAATTTTCCATACAATCATGGAGAATTTGAATACCTCCACACCAGCCTAAAAATGGACCTTCAAATCCTTGAGCCTCTAATATGCTTTTAATCAATGAAGAATAATTTATGAATTGTATATAGAGAGTGCATTCATAAATGTGATGATGTATTTTATCACTGATCCAAGATGTCAATATTAGAGTCTATTTTACTTATATTTTAAGCGATTATACTTTTTTGCAATTCACTAATGAGGTATCATTTTCAGACTGCTTTAAATATCCATTATAAACAAATATTTGAAGCTATTAGAATTACCTTGAACTGTGCATTTCTAGTATGTAATACATATTTAGTTAGCTTGTGCCTTTAGTTTCTTAAAGTTATATTTGTATTATATGCAGGAAATGCACTTTGTATTACCTACAGCTGTGTTTTTTAATACTGCCTTGATTACTGTTGTTCTCATATTATGCCAAAAGGTCAAAGCGTGAAATGTGTTACGAATTTGTCACTGACAGTAGATTTGGCATTTTCGCAGCTCCTGGGTGCAGTCTAAGGTACATTTTTGAACAATATTTCTTATGAGAATATGGATGTATAAAGAATCACATGACATTACATGGCCCGGTTACAAAAAAAAAAAAAGCCTTCATCGTAACAGTTTCAGAAATTCAGGAAACTAAATAAAAACGTCGTGTTGAGACAGCAGTGCTAAAGAAATGAGCTAGTACTGAAAGAGCACTGGAGACCGGAGTCGTAGCTACACGTGGGCCAGCCAGCAGTGGTTCATGAGAACTATAGCAAACAAATAGCTTTGGACCATCTTGTTCATGAAGAACCTCAGATGGAGGCAGGGAATATTTCAGTCTCCATTTTTGGTTTTTTCCCTAGTAGTTAGACCAATTTTTCAGTGTTGTTTTTCGTAGTTTTTCTTTTTCTTTTTTTTAATTTTGCACTATAGGCCAGAGACCCAAATGAGAAAAAGCAAAAAAGAAAAATAATGGCATGGAAATTTATACTGTTATTTAGATCAGATAATTTGATGCTAGCATTCTGCACTGCAAACAAGGTTCTGAAAGTGGAAAAAAAGAAATAAAATAAAATAAAAGCCACTATTGCACACTATCCTGTAGCAAACACCTACGATGAGAAATACGTGCTATATTTTTTATGACAGCCAAACAAATAGTGTGTACAAGTAAGGTTTCCTTTGCTTTCATATTTATTTAGCAAATCTAGAACATTTCAAAGGTATAAATATATATATATAGATATCTATGTAGAACATAGCCAAATAAATATATATGAACTGGTCAATGTGCAACTCGGTATACACATCCTAGCTGTTTGGTTTGAGCTCTTTAACGCCCTCTCAGCCCTACACTCGCCAGGCCGACGCGGCCTCTCCTTTCGGCCACGGGCGGCCGCGGCCGGGCTTGCAGAGCAGCGGCTTTCCCCCGGTGACCGGTGGCCATCAGCGCTGCGGGAGGCCGAGGCGCAGGTCCCAAGGGCAGAGCGGTTTAGGCAGAGGAGCTCCTCTTTTAGCCTGAGCAAAAGGAGATCGGCGGCTCCCCTGGCAGGGCGTTTGGTAGCTTGCTCGGGGGGATTCGCCGTAGCGCAGCTGATCCCAGGCGGTGACACCCAGATCAGGCTGCCGCCGGCAGCCGTCAGGGTTTTCCCCGTCAACTGCTGGCTGTTCTTTAAACCCATCCTTGATACAAAACATTACCAGGTCGAAAGCGCCCTGACTGTCAGAGGAATCGCTTCTCGGCAGAAACTGGGAACGGTGGAGTCGGACTCGCTGTGGATTTGTCCGGGCATTTGTCACCTGCCATTATTTGTCTAAGGAAATGTGTTTGACAATTTCCAGTTTTTCCTTAGATCTCGTGGTGGACTTTAGCCTTTTAATAAATGTTAGTATATCAGATCGTGTCCTTGACAGTATTTTACTTGTATGAACCATGATAAAACATTAAAACCTTCATACTCTTCAGGCAGAAGTGTCAATAAAGGAGAAAGAGAAGCATAGCATACGATATATGTCGAAGTAACGTTCCTTTTCAGCTTTCTCATCAACAGTAAAAATGTTTACAATGTATGCCAAGATCTTCAGTTTCTGTCTAACACCAGTTAGAGGTTCTGATCTTAACAGAAATTGTGTTATAATGGCCTCAGCCTCGTTGCTAGGAAACAATAGATCCCAATTTTTTTATTCCTGCTCTAACTCCTGTGCTGAATAGTGACTGGATACTGTACAGGTTTATGTTATATGGCTGCAGTTAAATGGTCTGATGCATTTTGCTCTGGGTTTCAGGCCAGAAGCATGCATTTTCTACAAGAACATCCCAGCAACACGCTGTAAATACTGAAAGTTAATATATTATGTGTCGATATTTGAAAAAGAAAGTACTTTGACTATTTCATTTTTAAAAAATAAAGGTGCAAACTGATGGCGTGTGACGTTGTCTTTGTTTACACCGTGTCTTGGGGATATTCTGGTCGTGCCAGTAAAAGGTGCTTCCATCCAGCTAAAGTAAGGGCTCCAGACAACATTGGTTGAGTCAGAAGTTGAGGGCAAGGGGTTGCTAAGCAAGAAGGGTTTAATTTTACTTCTGATGCACCAAAGTTCATGCACATAACTCAGCAGGTTTCACTGCAGGTGAAAGCCCAGGCAGTTGCTGCGCAGAATCCATCAGAACAAACAGGAGGGGGGGAAAAAAAAAATCTGCTAAATGCCTTTGCACTCCCAAGAACTGAGTGGGTGAAGTCAGGGGTGGTGGCAGGGGCCGGGGAGCAAAGGTTAAGTACCTGCGCGTTCTGTAGCGCTGCCTCAAATAGATGATGATGAACGACTGTGTGTATCGAACGCGTGCGCGTCAGGGAAAACAAAAAAGCCCGGCGCATGCAGCAGGGAGGAGGAGACGGTGAACCGGGGGCGGGGGGCAGGAGGAGTGTTTGAGGCTAAAGGAAAGGTTACGTGGTGAAAAACAGATCGGAGCAGTTGGGCTGGGCCAGAGCCCAGCGCAGGGGCTGAGGCTGGAAGAGCTGTCTTGGCTGGCAATAAGGAAGCGAGGCCAAAGGGATGCTCCAGTAGAAAAGGGAAGAAAACCAGCCCGGGAGATGGTATTGATTTAGTGCTGCAGGAGGTCTGTCTCAAAGGGGAGGGCTTAGCAGGGGCAAAACCCGAGCTGCGGCAGGATTAGTTGCTGCAGAGGAGCGGCATGGCCTTCGCTGGGGAGAAGGCAGAGCAGGGAGGGCTGGGGCAGGGGACCGAGTCCCCACAGTGAGCTGCAAAATGGGCTGTGAGAGCAGCGGCGGGAGGCCGGGGGGGGGGGGCGGGGGGGATAAACAAACATCAACTCCTTGCCCCACAGGTACCATGAACTTCTCTCTCTCTCTTTCCACCTTGTTTAAGCCTACATCCATTCCAGGCGCTGGGGTACCCAAAAGAAACAACACAAACAAGCCTCCTTCTTAATAATTTACATCAGAAACTGAAGCGACATTCTCAGCTTTAAATAAAAATGGCATCTCCTGGCCTATTTTATGTATTTTTTAGAAGAATGATGCACTTCTGGAGTCAAACCAGTTATCCTCAGCTCACCGCACCACAGAGGGGACAAGGGGCTGCTGCTCTTGTGCCACAGGGTTTGTGCCGCAGCACTGACAGCCTCAGCCTGTGCTTGCAGGCAATAGGACAATCCCGTAGGAACCAGCCCTTGGGCAACGTGCTGCCCACTGCATTTATCCCCAACGCCGTGCAATCGCCTGCCAGGGACCATTCCCAAGCACTCCCTTTCCCGCTCCAGGTAAGCCAGGAGTTTAGACCCAGCACTCGGAAAGCAAAAGGGCTCTCCCGGGAAGCCTGGGGGGGCACGCGCTCTGCCAGCACCCAGCAGGATGGTTTGCTGGAGCACAATGCTGGAGAGTCATGGCCAGGCACCAGGCGCCCAGCAAGCACGGAAACCTTGCAGGCACGGGGGAGGGAAGGTTCAATGGGCACAGGTGACAGCGAAGCAGCGGGTCCTGCGGAAGGTGCGCTCTGTGCCGGCGGTGGGCAGGGCAGCGCCTCAGTGGCTGGCGGTTGCTGAATTATGTGACGATTAAAAAAAGTAGCTTTTAAATATTTTATTAAAGAGCAAATCATGCTGGATCCCTCACTGGATGGCACTGTATTAAGGTAAGAAAGACCCTCGTATTAACCAACAAGCGTATGTAACAGGGAGGCGCAGAGCAACACGTGCACACACAGTGTGAAATAGATGTGACCAGTCAGGGGGACGGGACAGTTCACCACAAATGAAATTTGGCCTTCATTGAGACACAAACTGAGTAACAAACTTTGCAACAGAATTGCCTGCCGGCTCCTATGGGGCTGTTTGGTTATTGCATTTATGCCCATCGCTGCTTTACAAGGCACTTGTGCATCACAGAAAATCTTTTATTGCTTGCACCTTCTCACTCACATACTGTCTGTTACTTACACAGACACACACAGGCACATGCACGCATCACCTATAGAAGGAGGAGAAAGAAAGGAGGAGGAGAAAGAAAAAAAAAAAAGGTAAACTTTTCAGCCTTTTCAAATGCTGCTTGGAGCAGCACAACCTTGCTGAATCCTGCTCCTGCCGCCCACTTGGCTCTGTCACTGTTCGTGTCCAACTTGCCTTCAGTGAGGTGAAAACAAGGCAGGATCCAGGGTACCAGCAGGTAGGCAGCTTATGAGTGGAGGGGGTTTTTAACCGTGCTGCTGAAGCGGCTCCCCGTGGAAGTATCCTACAAGCAGATACGGACACCCGGCTTGGCCGGCTGCTGGAATTCGTGCTGGTTTGTTCTCCTGAGCCTGTAGCCTGGTGTTTCTGGAAAAAGCCTCTTTACCTCTTAGGAAACGGTTCCTTCCAAGCTGTGCAGAAGAAATTGGAAGTATGGGCATGAAATATTTAACCAGAGCAGCCCAACAGTGGCTATACGATGTTTAGACCTGTGGGTTGTCTTTTTTTTAAATATATATTTTTGCAATTACTGCTAGTCTTGTGCTTTGGAAGGGAGGCAGGAGAATCGCCGGTTTTGGATAGTTGGGACCATTTGTACGGGTTGAAGCATGACTAACGGTGGCACAAACCTACCAGCCAGACCAGAAGCACACACCCCCCACACCCCCCCCCGCAGCCTGGGCGCACACAAAGGTGTCTGGGCCCCGTCTGGGGTCCCCCCCCAAAGCTCAGAGGAGCTCACAGAAATCTGCCTGGCAGAAACCCGCACCGAGGGAGCCCGCACCATGTCTACCACCCTTCAACTGCCATGCAGACACAGGACTGTATCTCCTGAAGCAGGAGGGCTGTAGGACATCCAGTCTGTTCAAAAGCGTTGCTCGCTGGCTGCCAGCGCAGGCAGGACAGCGGCATCACGCTTGTTAAATCCCGCGCATCTAAGGCACGTACTGCAAGTTCACCGGGCGCTAGCCCTGCGCAGCCGACGAGCCCTGCAGAGTCAAACCTCTCCTCCAGCAGCCCCGCAGCAGCATGGAAACACACACGGATAGGTAAAGAAAAGCAGAGAAACAATAGCGCAAAAATAATGTATTTTTTAAGTTGTACGCAGGGATGGTTTGCTTCAGGTACAGAGCGTATCTAAAAGCAAAGAATGGTGTTCTCCCCTTCGCTGGCTGCTCTCAATTACTCCGTGCATTGCTTAAGCTTTCCATCGTTTGTGCCAATGACAAATTTGTACAGGCAGGCAGAGGTGGCCAGTTCTGCCAAGTTACGGGGCTGAGGGCCTGGTATGACAGGCAAGCAGCCACGGGGAGCCTCGTGGTGCCACTTCTGAAATGGCTTTAGGGACTGCGTGAATGACAGGCACACGGCCACCCAAGGCAAGGGCGCCTTAATGTAAGTGGTTTTCCTGAGGCTATAAAAGGGGACCTGTCCAGTTCCGCATAAAAGCCAACCAGAACAAAGCAAAGAGGAGTTCAAAGTTAATGAAAGTAAAATTAGTAACTAATTATTAATTAGGAACTAATCTTGAAGTGAAAAATATTTTGTATTTGAGGGTACAAAGAGAGAAAAAAACCCATTACACTATTTAGTAATTGATATTTTTTTATCCCCTATTTTACAAAAAGAAAAAAGGAAAAAAAACCTAAATTCAAAACATTCTGAAACTTAAAAATTCTAAATTTCTGAATTTTCTAAAAACTCTAAATTCTATGAAACATACATTTCTGCAAATGTTACAAGAAAACTCATGGAGTTGTAGTAACTAACACATAGATCCTTCTGGTCTAGAGCATGGGCTAGAGGAGACACTGGAAGATACGGTTATGTCACACCTGGGGAAACGTCTTCATGATGCCTGCAGGTGGAAGTCATGGCCTTCGTTTTGCCCTAAGAAGAATCACAAAGATAGGAAAGGATGAACACTGCAAGAAAATGGGCAGATCAGAAGGTTCATACCCACAAGAGCTGGGAAGGGCAGGTCGCCACCGCCAGTATAGCACTCAGGAATACTCAAAATCCACCTTCTCATCGCATTGATAGGCCCTGTCCCTAATGAGCACCTGAGTGCCAGCATTTTGATCACACAATAGCACAGTTAGGGCATATTTTGGCAATGCCGCCCTGCTGTTCAGGTCAAAGATGCAAATAAGTTTAAAACCCCCATCCCCGCTGCCATGGAGGGCTCTTCTCAGCCGCAGCCAAGGCTCCCTCTGCCCCACGAGTACCTGGGGGGTATTTGGCTTTCGCATGGTTGATGACTGGGTGCTGCAGGGGCGTTATGATGCCTTGGTCAGGTTTCTGGAAGGCCGAAATGAGGTTGTGCACTTTCCGAAAGAGCCTCCGGTGGACCCCGGGCGCTGTCTGTGAAGCCAAAGGGTGAGAGATGAGAGGGGATGCTGGGTCCTGAGCATCTGTGCCGGGCTCAGGGCGCTGGCACCAGAGCCTTGTCCTGGGAAGCGCACACACCGCCCAGGTCCATCACTTGGACCCCCTGATGTGCCAACTTCAAATGAGTCAATGAGCCGGGCTGCTCTCCTCCTTCCCCCGGGGCATCCCTCCCTGCACGAAGAGCGGAAGAGAAGCCCAGAGCCTGCCGTGCGTATTAGGCAAATTCCCAAGTGAACTTTTGCTATTTCTGACCCTGATTTATTGCAGCCAGTGACTTAAATTCAAGCCTGGGGTTTATCAGTAAGACACTTCCAGCCTGGAAATACCAGTAAGAGTCTAGAGAGCTACCTGGTGCTTACTGGGAAGGGGGGAGTCCTTACACCACTAAGTTCAGGCATGGACACAGCCTCTTTGCAAGCCTTTCTCTGAGCATTCAATAGGGGTTTATGTGTTCCTTGAGTATCCCTGTCTCTCTCGTACAAAGGCAACAGCAAAATGATACCTATTTATTAAAAGTGGGAGTTTTTCTATCCTTCTGTGTTAATGCCTTTTCCAACACTGCAAAATGAAACTGTGTCTGCTTTTAATCAAAAATCCAATGTTTCTGTTAAAACCTTCAGGGCATTCTCCTCATGACTCCTCCCCACCGAAGCCACGGGAGGGCAAGCACAGGTCCTGCCGGCATAGTCCCATCTGAGGGACGCTGCTCTCACCCAGCAGTCCTGGGCTAAACCCTGCCTCACTGGAAGCCAGAGGCTTTGCACTGGTTGGGATTTTACCAGCGCTGTTTTAATTTCCCTGCCTCGTCCTTTACAGACGGGTGCAACCTGGGCTTGCTCGGAGACTGACCAGCCATGGGGAAGGAAGCAGAGAGGGGAAAGCACCAGCTGGAGCCTGTTTTGGCCTTGGAGGCACATTTCATGGGGATAAATTGGATTTAGGCTGCTGTTCCTAACAGCTGAGGCCAGTTCAGTCTCAGCAACATTTCCTTAAAGGTTTCTGTTTGCTTAAAGGAAGGGTTGGTGTCATGGGTCTGCAGCTAGCACCTTTCCCTGTAGAGGATATATTGAGAGTCCTGGGCCTTCAGGACATCTACGCTGTGAAACACAGAGAAGGTTTCCCTAAAATACAGCAAGGGAAAGCCCAAGATCCATATGTAGGAAGCCAGTGGAGGTCATGGGCGAGGAGCTGTAGCAGGCCTATATAACACCAGAAAAAAACCTCACTGCAGATGCTGCCGTTACCTGGGACCAAAGGAGGCTGCAGCCTCACTGGGGGAATTCTCTTCCACAGACTGAGGTCCCTGGGGGTCCTGACATCCTTCCTGAGACACCGGTGCTCACCCTGGCATGCTGGGTGCACTGCCACCCCCACCCCGCCCCGAAAACCCTCCTGCCTGGGCAATGCAAATCTGCAGGATGCCATACAGCAACGAATGAGTGAATTCTTTCTGGGCACCATTCCCAAGGGTGACACGGAGAATTATTTACACCGCAGTAATGCGAGTCGCTTTTACTCCCTGATCTAACCCCAGAATTCAGTCTTGTCTTCCAGAGCACTGCAACCACTTCTATTACAATAATGGCCAAGGAATTATGCCTGTCTAGAAATTATTTAATGTTTGTCATCAGTGTTCATTAAAGTGCAAACAGAAAGCTAATTATGAATTAATACACAGAGTACATCCAAAGAACAAGACCTTCATAAAAGAAATGCAGGTTAGCATCCCAATTCCATCAACCCAAATAGTTTTCTGTATTGCAAACAGTGTTATTCTACACTTGAATTACCAGTTTCTTATCAGATGGGTGAAAATATATTTTTGTATTGAGTTTTGGTTACCCTTTATATGTTTTGAACCAATCTGGAGAGAAGTTAACTTTAAAACACTGAAGTTGATTGAAAATAATTTCCTTAAATATTCTGATACTAATGGTACATGGGATAGAAGGGAACCAACTGTGCTTGTCAAATTATAAAAACACGATATTTTTGCCATTTAAAATGATGCAAAAGAATGCACTATTGCATTATGCAACAGCTGAAATGTAACAGGGAATTAATTTATGAGTTCAACACTGTCAGAAGTGGCACCAAGACACCTTAGTGATGGGTACGCTCAAGATCGATTACCTTCGATGAAAATCAGACTATGCAGAAACATGAATAATTTGAATCTATTTCATTTAATCAATACAAACATCAAACAGGATGTAGAAATTTTCAGAAGAGAAAGGAGAAGTACACACCTCAGCACTCCAGGACCCAGTTTCTGTCTTGGACACTCTGTAGGTATAAACGTAACCCTGATGCCTGTAAAAAAAAAAAAAAACCCAACAGGTAATTATTACTCCTTTCTACTGTCAGGTTTCACAAGAGGTACACTCTGTTAAGTGGGAGTCAGTTCATCTCCTAACCTTTCCTTAAAAATAAATTCACCCATAAAGGCTCTAGGCAGATAAAAAACCTGAGATGCAGCTCAGAAGCAGCGTTCAGCCTACTGGGTTCTTTCGGGATGAGAGGCATTGGTCTGACTCAGGTCTAGTTCAGCAATATTCAGTTATTCTAGGTTCAGTGACGTTGCTTTCATTCCTGCCTCAGCATTTTTTTTTTTTTCCAGTGACCTCCTCTTACTGACACACACCAGACATACTTGCCCTGAAAAAAGAGGAGGTGTGTTATGTATAATACTGATAGCATTACTGTCTTGTGATTGATTTAAATGCAGATGTTCCCAGAAGCAATAGCACCAGTGTGATTTATTTGGAAAGGTAGACCCACAAAAGTGAGCTAAGTTAACTTTTTGCCTTGCCTGTACATTCCTAATTCTCAATACTGATAAAGGAGACTTATCAGAGTGTGGAATCTTCCTTCTTTTTAAATCGAATTTGAGTCTTTTGAGAATAAGGAGTCATGCACTAACAACACAAGACATACTTGTGTCCAGAGCCAGTCTTGCTTCTCTTACGAACCCAACACAGTGAATGATTTACATGGTAGATTATTATACTGATATCAAAAAATTTGACTCAGAAGCAGAGGCAACTGATAGTAGTTCCACGGGTGCAACATTGGTTTAGATGGTGTCAGATAAGGAAGATTGTATTCCGTACTACCTAGATTTACGTGAATACATCGCAGGATTTTAGGGACCATTCCCTATTTCAGCATCAATTCTTACTCATAAGAAAGCAGGAGACGACTATATTTCTTTCCAATTATACATGGTATTATAGTAGTTACTACAAAATAGCAGAAACCATCAATGACACAGATACCATATGATTGCAATTACTTACGCTCCGTGTCATGGCTTCTGGATAAATTCTTGTTAAAAAGTCATTACGGCAACCTTTGCAAAGCGGCATCTGATATAATTTACCCAGGCAGGAAGCTGTTAACGGTTGTCACACTGCTACAACCCGACAAAGTGGGAGCAAAAATGCCTGTCGTGATTTGTGAGCTCTCCCCACCACCACCCGACTCCCACTGTGATTAAATACAGAGGCGGAAGACACAAAGCCGTTCCCTCCCGTCGGGGCTGCTGCAGGGGCAAACTCCCTGTGCGGCAGCTGAGACGCTGCCCTCCTCCTCGTGTATGGGAACATGCCTGACGCAGCCCCACGATCCCACCACAACTTCATCCAGCTCTTCGTGTTAGCCAAGGAAGCATTTTCCCCAGAGACACGAACTTCCCACCTGGCACCAGATGGACTTGAAAAGCGGCCAGCCGCGCTCGCTTCATGGAAACCTAAGGAGGAAAGCAGCCGCCGCTACCCCACTTCTTCCCCCAGCAAGCTCAACTGCTGCAGTCCCTCGGGCATTTGGACGGGCCCAGAAAGGGCCCTTGGGAAGAGATGTAAGGAACCTGCTGTGGCTGCGGGAGGAGGGAAGGCTGTGGAAGGAGAACACTGTTCTCTAGTCCATGCCATGGCACGATGGTCACTGGTATTTGAGGCCACAGCTCCACCCAGTTGCTCAGAAGCACATCCCTCTAAGCCACGGGGGTATGTTCATGTTCAGGGAATCCCGTGCCTCCTGTTAGGGTCCTTAGACAATCTCGTACCATCACGTCCTTTCCTACAATCTCTGAGAGCTATGCCTGTATTGTCAGTAGCTGATGTTCACATTCATCTTTTCAGAAATCACAAGGGGCTTTCCTGCGCCTACGCATGTAGCACACCAGCCAATATATGGTTACTGAAACTCAGTTTTACAGGTCACAGTGTACTGGGAAACACCACAGAGGTCCTGGCATTTTGTCCCCTCTCTTTGAAGTGGGTATTTGACCATCTTCACAGTGATTTTTTTCAAGCCTCAAAACCAACAGGATCAGTATGTAAAAATCTAAAACTCACTCTCTTGCCTCCTGTTTTTAATAATACACTGTGCACATTACCCATGCTTGTTCTTGGTTGTCCCAAAGCATTCTGAATGCTTCAGTCTCTTTAAAATCCAATTTTTCCACAATGGCTCAGTTGTCTGGAAAGCTACCATCTGTTGTTTCTTTCATCATTTTCTCTACCCAAGAGATTGCGTGACTTGAAGTGGTTGAGGGGCTGAGGTGCTGCCCTGACTCTGAAATGTCTGATGGCTTTCAGCAGTCTGCCTCAGAAGGGTTTACTAAGCTGGACAAATTGAAAAATAGAGGTCTGATGAAGGCGTATTCAGGGCCAAAGCAGGGTAAGGTATAAAACAGACACCTATCCTGCATTTTCCAAAAAATTCCACTGGAAAATATTTCAACCGAGCCCAGAGAAAGCACAAAGGATAGCTCAGACTAAAAACCCACGAGATACAGAAAAAGGAACAAGAATTTGGGAACATGGACGCCCTGAGCACAGCGTGGAAGATGGGAGGAGTATGGCGTTGCTACCATAGCCTTGCAAGGGACAAGTGAGAGCTCGCCACTCGCCTGCAAACGTGCATTTATTGCCCAGAAGAGGAAAGGCTGAGAGGCTTGAAGGGGTTCACTGTGCCTAAGCTGAAAAACACAATGTTATCATCTGTTGTTGGCTCTGAAGCCATCACTAAACACCGCCACTGTGTAGCTGGGAGATGGCCCGGTACCACCACACCTGCTTCTTCAAAGGAAATGCACTAAGGAAGGAGGACGCATTTTTCGAGAAGGTGAACAGCTAGATCTTTCCGACTAACTACTTTCCATTGGGATCTTTGTTTCCGCAGAATGAATTAAAGCTCTTCTGATAAGTACTCTCCCAACAAATATGATCTTATCAAAACTTTCTGTTAAGCAGCAGGAACTTACTTCATTACCACTTCAAAGTGCTTTTTACCTTCCGTCTGTGAGTGACATGATTTTGATGAGCCAAGTTCTCTTTACTGCTACATGGGCACAGCCTCCAGTGAGAAAGGTTTTTATGATTTTTTAAACTACCCAACATGAACTGAGATCAATGTGGACTGAAGGAAGATCAAGGTGTTTTTCTTAAAACAGAAATTAAATACAAAGATTAAAATTGAGATTGTATAGAACATTACCTTCCAAAGAGCAAAATATGTAACACCGGGTAAAAGCAGGTGGAAGACTGCATTTACTGGAGGTTAGGGCTCAGATGAGAAATTCCCCAGCCACCATGAGGGGACAGCTCAGTCTTCTACATTTTACTCAATTCATGGCAGAAAAAAGCTCCTAGCGTGACACACTGTTCTTATATGTGGTGTGGCCACATAGCTAAAGCCAAAACCCAAACACCACGTGGCCTGGGATGGTGCTAGTCTCTTGGGGCCTCTCATACAACTTATGCTTTGAAACCATTACCTGGTGAGATGCAGGCCATGTCCACCTCTCAGTCACCTGAACTCCTCTCTCTGCTGGACAAAATCAACAGGCAATGGGCACATGTCACAGAGAGAAGGATTTCAGAGAGCAGTGACACCAGCATATCTTGGAGGAGGACCAGTTCTTGGCACCCAGGCAAAGACCCAATGAAGGGCTGCCCCATCCCTTCATCGGGCCCAAGGATGGCCACAAGCCTCACTCACAATTGCAAAGCTCCTCTTTCATGCCAGTGAAGCTCAAGGGACAGGAGTAATCATGAATTAACAGCTTGATGAGTGAGGCCCTATAAATTTTTGATCAAAGGCAAAAAATGCCAAAATGCTGATGAGGGGAAGCAGAAAACAGCCTTTGCTGTAAGGACAACATTGGATGGCACTTATGAGAGAGTGGTTAGGTCACCACTGATGGTATTTTTGTCATCTCACTGGGGTTTTTTTCTCCTCCATAACAAAGGATGTGTTATACCAGCTGGGAACTGCACTAGCACTGTCTCTGTTGCAATACCATCACTGGGAAAACTTTGTCAAAGGAAAATCTAGAAAAAGTTGCTATTACAGGAAACAGTCCCCTTTATATTATAGGCTTCTTTCTTTATAGCTAGATAATTCCTCCCAAAGAGCTACAAAGGCATCATTCACAGATGACATACTGAGACAGCATCTGTCTACCTGTCCTCTCCACTCCTCCTTTTCAACTGTGATCAGACTTGTTAAAGCCACATTTAGTTTAACAGGTGAATAATTACAATCTTCTGCACCATTGAAATAGCCAGAGGATATTAGCCGCATGCTGCCGATTAAAATTAACCATGACATTTCAGCTGCATGGTATATTTTAAAATAATTTCCAAATGCTTTGTACCTCAGTTGGGAAATTTTATTAAACTAATTTGTATTCCTTTCTGTGTCCAAAATGGAACAAATATAAAGGGAGAAAGACAGAAAGACAGGGGAAAGCCATGTCAGCAATAAACGGCATCCATTTCTTCCCCTTTACAGAGCTTTCTCTTCTGATGTCTTTGCACTATATCAACCAGCTGCTCTTACCTGGTGTATTTGCATGCTGACCTTACCTTGGAATTTCACTTTACAATATTGCTTAAGAACCAGACAGTGATGTGGCCTGCAACCAGTAGTCCTGAGCATTATATACTGCCCGTACTCAGTTTCTTATAACTTTGCCACATTTCAGCCTTCAGGAATGGAGAAGGCCAGAAAAGGGGGCATGTTAGGCAAAACAACATTTTTCTCTAAAGCTTGTTAGCAGTCGTAGCTGCACCGTGCCTGGGCTGGCTGTAGCATGGGCACTCAACGAAGCAGTGTCCATGATCTCAAGCCATGAGTGATGTACGTATGTTGCCTGGCCTGGATTAGCGGGGGGAAAAAAACAAAAGGTAATTTAGATCGGGCATCTTGGAAAGGATGATTGGGACTGGGTGGGGTGGATGTGGAAGGAAAGAAAAGTCAACCCGTGTCTATATAAGCTGGGCAAGGAAACAGCAATGAAAATT